TTACTGCAGTCTATTTTCACTTGGTGAATCAGAAACGCTCTCCTAGCGTTCCCTTGCACTGTCAGGTGCAGGGGTAGCTGCTTTCATTCACCATACTCCCCACTCTACAGCCCAGGGTCTGCTGCCCAGGTTCAATGGGAGGGTTACGCTGTCAAGGTGTCCTAGGGGTGATCTCATCTCAATAGCTGTGATTGCAGAAGAGGAAGGAAAACATTTGGTTTAAGTGTCCCAAGGGGAAAAGTGTATTATGGGGGAGGAAGGAAGAGATAAGGGCAATACAGCCTGCAAAAACCTGGGGTGGATTGATTGATTGATTGATTGATTGATTGATAGATAAAACTATGCTGAAGGGAAGGAGAGAGTGATTGCAAATGGGATTTACAGAGCAAACAGACCTGAATTAGGCAATGGAAAGAAAGGGAGGCTGAATTGTGTTGTGCAGGGTAACTAAAATGGGAAGGAATCATGGACTGGGGTGATGGCAGAGGGAAAGAAGAGGGGAGAGCCAGATGGAGTTGTCTGTATGTAAAGAGAGGGAGAGCTCTGTGACCGAGTGAAATAGATGCCTGTGCTGGGCAGTGAGCCTGGACTTACTCTATTCCTTACTACTAGGCTAAAGTATCCACAGGAAGATCAAATGAGAAGCAATTTGGAATGATTCATATAGAAGGCAGGAATGAAAAAGGGGTCAGGGTGTAAAGGATAGAGATGCAAAAATCAGGGCGCAGAAGGGTTTAGCAGCACCCAGTCACTGAGCACTTCAACATTTACAAAGTGATTCCATGGGGTTTATTACAATTATTTACTCAGGTAAATGGTTTACCAGGGCCACACAGCATAATGGCTTATTCTTGGTTTCTCACCTTGGCTGAGCAGTTGATGGTTCTGATTCTTCCCACCTGCACCAGAGCTCCTGTGGGATCAGGGAGTGCTTCACAGCTCCCCTGGTCTGGTCAAGGGACATCAGGAGCTTCTGAGGATGAGGGGGGTGAGAGTGTGTGTGTGTTTGTGCATGCACCCCCACACCATCACAAGTATCTGTGTATTTAGAGCAGGTTAGCTTTTCTCCTCTCTCTATTATCAGTTCTTTTCTTCACTTGGGTGACAAAGGTCCTTGAATTGCTTCTAAAGTCTCCTGCCCTGAAAACACAGAATGGAATTTTGTCTGTATTTCTTGCACAAATGTTACACTCCCAACAGTGTTAGAAGAATGCTATGGCTGCAAATTCAAGTAGAGAGCTGTGTTTGTAAGGTTGTTAAATACAGAAGAAGTAGCCATTGGAAGATAAAAGCCCACCAAGCAGGAAAAAAACCAACCTTATTATTTAATGCCACATCTGATCCGTTCTGACAGGACAAGTAACACCTCTACTTTTGTCCCTCATTTACACAGATTTTATTTATGAAAATATTTTGGCAAGCATCTGATATTTGACAACCAAGACAGACCTTTTTGCCATTTCACTGACAAGGTCTTAAAATAATAGTCCCAAGGTGAATTTCTCTGACCTAGTTATGTTTTTTAACAGCAGCAACTTACTCAGGCAAAATTTGAGTATTCGCAGTTCCCAGTCTGCCTTTCTCTCTGCCCATTCTTTACAGTAATATGCTTGGTTTAAATCCATTCCTTCCAATCTCTGGAATGCTTTGTGCTTTGTTTCCTTTTACCTTTTCTCTCTCTTTTTTTTTTTTTTTAATTATTTTTCTTTAAGCTGTCTTCTCTTTGGTTTTGTTTTGCTCCTTTTATCCATTACAGTTCTCTGCAATGGTTTTCCTCCCTCTCCCACTGCTGCACATGTTGCTGTCCAGAACAGATAAGGACCTTCTGACAGAGATCCTTTGTTGGCCTTTTTTTTTTTTTTTTTTGGTCAGAAAAGTGCAAAATACAACCTCTTTAATCAAAGGACATTCCAGCCAGTTACACTCCTTAGTTCTTCAAAGCAAACTCATAGACTTTGTTATAAACAAGTTCAAACCAAAGTCAAGGTCAGAAAGATGGCAGTTAACAGAGCTCATTTCCCCCATCATTTACCCTTTTTCACATGTACTGAAATGCTCACACTTTTAGTGTTGCTAAAGAAGGCAGGTTTGAGAGAGGTAGGTGCAGGGGAAGGCAGCAGTGCCTGTCATTATGCTCTGTTAGGTAACATTTGACTGTGCAGAGACCTTGTTGCTGTCTGTCTCTGAAGATGTGCTCGTCACTTGGCAGCTCTAAAAATACATCTGCAGTTACATCCAGAATTATTTTACAGATCCTGTCACTCTGCAGGACACACAGACAGTGCTGGAAGTCAAAACTTCTCTTTTAAAATTAATCTCTACATTCAATCAGTGGTGAACTCTAAGTGAACTGACTCTGGCTTTTGAAACATACTTTGAATTTCTGATACTATCTTCTTTATTCCAAGTATTTTATAAACTCTTCTGTTTACCAAGATGCCAAACTAGTAAGATCCAGTCAGCTCTGAGGTAGAAAAGAGTAATCCCCTCACAGGGAATAACCAGCAGTTCCATTGTGCAAGGAATTTTATCTCAATCAACAGGGGCAGGTTGGCTTCCTGCTATGGAAAAAATTAAGACATGAGTTAGTTGGTGTCTTTAAGATACTTTTCAGCAAGCTCAGTAAACTTTCATGACAAGTTTTACTTGTTTTCTTTCAAACCAGCAGGTTCTGGCATAAGGTGAACTAGGATTTACCTTCTCGTAACTTCTCAGAGAGCAAGATGCCAAAAGCAAATCAAGCATTACATCTCAGTGCATGGAACCACAGCTGAACAATCAGATGCATTGCCTCTCCCAGCCAAAACCCACCAGCTGCACTTCTTAGCCTGATTACATCCTTTCAAGTAATAGCTCCAAAGTCTGCAACAAAGCCCCAGACAAGCAACTGAATTAATGTGTTGTTTGGTACACTTGGATAAACACACAGATTTACTACGAGAAACAGGGATTCATTCTCTCTGAATCAAGTGGTAAGCTGCTGCAGGTATTTTTTGAAGTGTGTGTCTCACCTCTCAGACATCCTTGATTGCCTTTCTTTGTTGCTTCTTGAAAGAAACTCCTTTCTATTTCAAAGTTCACAGGTTTCAGCTCACTCCAAAATCCTCTTCTCACTGTGACTTCTGCTCCTGAATTTTCTGTCATTTTTCTCTTAATGGTGTTGGCCCGTCACTGTCATATTTAATTGTTCACATTTCAGAATACTACCATGGTAATAGATAATGTCACCTCTTGTGCATTTGGAACAGTATTTAAGCCTCCTTTTGATTGTATTTTATTTGGTTACTTTTGTAATGTGTTTAATTGGAAAGTATTGATATTCTTTGTCCTCAGTGACTTTCCCAACTCTTTGCAAGGAAATCCAGAGCTTATGTAAGATGTTACTGTTGGAGTTTTAAAATAATAGGTTAAGGATATAAAAGGAGAAAAACTTACAGGAAAAGATAATAACATTTCTCAGATTAATTGATTCAGACTGAAAAATGGAAACGCTTTCAAAAGCTATTCTTCACAGAAATGTCCTCTCACATTATTTTTAAAATGAACATGAACCAAAGAAGAATATCAGGCATTGTAAATCTACAGGATGGGCCTGACCTTGAGACTCAAGCTCAGGTAAATATTTAGCAAGTCTTTTAACTGCTATCTACAGCTGACAAAATATTCTAAGACACTCAACAAATTCTTTAGCAATACATTCCAATGTTATTACAGTGCAGTGTCAAATAGCATTCCAAGCTGGATTTCATACACTGCTGCTGAGGTTTAGGGAGAAGAATATCACCTGGTTCTTTTAAAACACAATCTTGCCTTTCAGGTTTATTGAACTCTCAATGCTAAAATTCCTTATTGTCTGACTGGCAGCAGGGAGGGGTGAAAGGCAAAGAGCCAGAGGCTCTGCAGAGCTTCCTCAGCTCAATCACACCTCAGTTTTCAGGTGAGATTGGTTGCATTCTTCCTTCTCCCTTCCTGTTCTCCCTGATCCTACCCCCTACCTTCCTTATCACTAGGAATATGATTCTCCACATATTTGCTAAGCCTTCCTAGGGGCTGCAGGACAGTAATACAGGGAAAATGACAAGGTGAGGAGTGATGTTTAGGAAATATTACAGACAGTTCACAAGGACACAGTGTTCTTACACTGATTAAAGTTGGTGGTTTCGGTGTGGTTTAGCCAAAACACTGGATATGGAGTAAAAACTGGCTATCCTTATCAGAGTTCTCCCTAAAACTATATAGATATCCATCCACACTGCCATTTAATGAACAAACCAGAATAGTCAGGTCTGTCAGCATGCAAAACCTGTGAGCCCCAACTGTACCTGAAAACAATGGAAGTGGCTGACTAGAGAAACAAAGGAAACTTTCTAATGACTGTGTTTGGGGAGTTTATGCCAAGAAGTGCTTCAGGTCTTTAAAAGTCTGTGAAATGGTACTATGAGTACAATTACAGAACCACAGAATGGTTTCATTTGGAAGAGACCTTAAAAATTACCTCGTTTCCCCCCTGCCACGGGCAGGGACACCTTCCACTGGCCCAGGGTGCTCAGAGCCCCATCCAACCTGGCCTTGAACACTTCCAGGAATGGGGCAGCCACAGCTTCTCTGGGCACCCTGTGCCAGGGCCCCCCCCTCCTCACAGGGAAGAATTTCTTCCATATATAGCTCTGAAAACTCCAATTTCCACATTAAAACCGAGAATGACGCCTTTCCAACACAAGTTTTGCAACTGGAATTTGGGGGTACAGGTCTGGAACAGCCTCCTTTGGCACAATTCCAGCCTTTTACCCCTCCGACCGCCAGGATCTCACGTGCAGAGCTGCAAAAAGGGAGCCGGGCTGTTCACCAAACGCCAGAACAAACCACACCGGGGGTTAACCGGGAGCTTCAGGCTTTGGCTTTAAGAGATTAGAAGCCAAAAAAAAAAGAAGAGAGGGAGAGGGGCGGAGGCTGCGGCTGTGGGCGGTGGGATGCGCCGAGCCGAGCCCGCGGTGAGCGGTGCCGGCCCGTCCCTGTCCGGTGCCCGTGCCCAGGTGACCCGTGCCCAGGTGACCCGTGCCCAGGTGACCCGTGCCGTGTCACCCGCTGTCCCCGCCTCACAGCATCGCGCCCCAGGATGCCGCGGCCGCCGCCGGCCCCGCCTCGCCGCTAGAGCTGCGGAAGGTAACACTGCCGCCTCCTCCTGCTCCTTCTTCCTTCTAGATTCAGCTTTGCTTTCCTCTCACCACGGTCCTTCTCATCCCTGAGACTCCGCGTTTCCGTGGCACCGACCCCGCTAATCTGCGGGATCCCTTTCTCCTGTCGCTGAGCCCGGACTGTGTCGCAGCCCCGCGGGTCTGTGTTTTTGCCTGGAAGGGTAGTTAAGGGGTTTTAAGTATTTTCCGGGACCCGTGGCCGTTCCCATCCCCGTTCCCGGGGCTCAGATGTGTCTGTGTCCCCCCGCCCACCCACGGGCGGCGGGTTTGGGGCCGGTTTTAACTAAACCCTGTAAGCAAACCCTGCCTTTCGGAGCTGCCGGAACTCGCCGGCATTGCGGCTGTTTCCCGGGCGGCGGGCAAGGCTCGGAATCCCTCCGGGTCATTCCCGCGAGCGGAGGAGCGGCTGTCCTGCCCAGCCTCCTGCTCCTGGCGTGGCTTTTCCCGGCGGAAAGCGGCGGGCGGGTCCGGCGCATCCCTTTGCCCGCGGCTGCCTTTGGGTTGGAGCGTTTGCGGCGGTTTTCAGACATGAAACTGCCTGGAAACACTCATCCCGTTAGACCTTTGATTTCGTAGATAGATCCTTAAATAAAACTTTAGTGCCCTGAGCAGCAAAACAAGCGAAATTAGAAGGTGTGTGGATGTCCCCGCCGTGTGTTTGGAGCGAGGAGCCGGCTCCCATCCCGGCTGTCCGGCGTTCCCGCATCACTGCGTCTCCCCCCGTGCCGCCAGGGAACCCTGTGGAGGAGCAGCTGTCCCCGCCTTTGGGCAGTCCCGGGGGATGTTCCAGAGCAGTTCCCGGTGCTCCCACTGCGGGGAGATTTGGCCCCTTCTCACTTGCAGCTCTTTAGCAGTGAGGGGTGGGGGATCGTTGCTCCCAAGTCCTTGCACAGCTCCTGCTTCCAGGAACCAACTCCGGGGGCTAAAAGGAAAGAGCGAGGTCTGAAATGTTGGTATTGACAGCAGCCTCTGGTGAGGTGATGCTTTATTGAATTTGGGAAGTTGCTACTGTAATTAATAAAGCTTTTTTTTTTTTTTTTTCTTGTTCAGGGCTGAGATGGATTCACCAGAACGAGCCACAATTAGAAGTGAGCAGAAATCCAGGTAACTTGTGTTGGAAAAGTTATATTTATGTCTGTGTGTGTATATACACAAGTAGATATATTTATATAAGTGTCTCTATGACAATCTGAAACCACAGGGGACATAAACTACTGAATATTGGATACAAGAACATCGTGCATGAAAACTTGAAATGATTCCAGTAACTAGTTTCTCCATTGACCAAATGCTTCATGCTCAGTTAAGCTGTTTGTGAGGAATAAATAATAAACTTCCTGAGAGGAAACAATTTGGGCTGAATGTAGCAGGCAGGGGTGGGGCTCATCAGACACATTTTCTTTGTAGGCAGGAGCTGGCAACCCTGTCTACATTTATTAACTGCTTTGCCTGAGGCCATTTCAAGTTAAACACTATAGTCTGAGTTAGTTTCAGGTGATTGTGAAACAAGAGGTGTTAAACATCCATGTTACCAGGAATTGAAAGATCTGTAAAGGTAGTTGGAAAATCAGGGGTATTTTGAGGTTCTGTGTTGCTGAAATCCCTGTTTGTACAGAAGGGATTTTGCTGTATGGTTTAAAAGCATTTTCACTGCTCTGCTGAGTAATCAAGAAAGACTTTCCTGACAGTTCCTTGTACTGCTTTGTGTAGGGAGTGTGGACATAGCACAGATTCAGCTCTGAGAGGGATGTGTGGGTAGTAGTATCTGAGCAGTGGGTTGGATGGACCCTTGGTCTGAACGAGCATGACTGCTGTGTGCACATATCCTACACTGAGCACAAATGAGAATGAAGATGCTGCTTCTGCCCAGGAAAAGAACAAAAAATTGTTTCTTTGAAACATTACGCCTTCAGGATGGGCAGAAAACGCACTGTGACCAAGGAATTTTTGTTTTCTATTTTCCAGAAAATTCCTCAAAAGCCTAGTCCGAAAGCAGCCGCGGGAGCTGCTGGTGGTGATCGGGACAGGGGTGAGCGCCGCGGTGGCCCCAGGAATCCCGGCCCTGTGCTCCTGGAGGAGCTGCATCGAGGCCGTGCTGGGAGCAGCCGAGCAACTGGAGGTGCTGCACCCTGGGGATGTGGCGGAATTCCGCAAGAAGGTCACCAAAGAGAGAGACCTGCTCGTGGTTGCCCATGATCTCATCAGGAAGATGTCCCCAGTGAGTGTCTTTGTGACCTCTGCTTGTTTCTGAAACTACTTCATGCTTCTATTCTGTTACCAACAAAAACCTATTTTCAAAACTTGACATTTTTTTCTGGTGAAAATGGCCATTTTGTGGGTAATCATATAAACACCCTGTATGTTTTGGAGAGCCTCAAACATCCCTGGGTTTTAGTATGAGTCAGCTTTCATCAGAATTAATGCCAGCAGGAGTCCTGACTGTTAAATATTCACTGTGATTCACTTCTAGGAAATGAAAGGGGAATTTGCAGCTCTATGAAAAAACCTAGGGAGACCCTGAAAATACAGGTAGGCCCTGACCCTACTGATGGCCTTGGCCACACAGAGTGCATCACTTCCTTAAGGGCAGTCCATACATGCCCAGGTTCTCAACCATCCACTGAGTTTCCAGAGGTTTTCAGACTCTGTTAAGCCCTTTGCCAAGTCTTCCTTTTAGCTGAAATATTCAGGGTGACAGACATAGCCCCAAGTGAAAGCTGTGGGGAGTGTTTTGCAACACGTGGGGAGCCTCTCTACAGGCCCAGTGTGATGATTACCCCCACTTTTCAGGAAGTCTGTGTGTGTTTGTGGTATATTTAATCATTAATGACAGTTTTCTCAGCCAGGAAGGAAAAAACATTAAAAAAGAAAATGCCACCTTCAGTAGTATAGCCCAGACTCTGAATCCAGGGAATAGTAATTTTAGTGCTGTTTTCTTGGACCTGTATTACAAGCTCTCCTGAGAAACCAAGCCTATTGTTTGGAGATGCATTGAGTGGAGGCAACACCAGAAAATAAATTGGGATTTGTTTTGGATTGGTTTTGCTTGGTGTGCTCTATGCTGTGGCATTAAGTATCCAGGTGAAGCGGGTTCCTGTGGGAGGCCAGGATCATGGAGCTGATGAAGTGTTGCTCTGCTCTCTCCTCAGCGTACAGGGGACACGAAGCCCAACTTCTTCCAGGACTGCCTGATGGAGGTGTTTGATAATTTGGAGCAGCACATCCAGAACCCTGTGGTCCTGCAGTCCATCCTGAGGCTCATGGAGAGAGGCACAATGGTTTTGACCACAAACTATGATAATTTGCTCGAGATATTTGGTCAGCAACAGGGCAAACCTATGGAATCTTTAGACCTTAAAGATAAGGATAAGGTATGATGAGAGCAGTAAAATTAGTAGATTTAATATAAGACAAGGCAGCTCAAAAGCTTCATTGAAAGATGTTTTCCTGTTTAGAGAGTGTCAAGACTAAAACTTGTTAATTGGCAGAGCATGTCTATGAGCTGCAGCAGATGCCCAGACATTTCCTTTACATGCCTCTTTATTCTGAGTAATCTGGTAACAGTTACCAAGGAGAATTTCAGTGACATGTTTATTGACCAGTTCCCCCATTCACTGTGAAAAACCCACAGATTTATTTAACTTCTGTGAAGTCACTGTTAAAATCCCAAGTAGGATTTCACCTGGCTGGTAGGTATTCACTGTTCATACCTTTACTGGCAGTGCTGCTGGAATTTGCTGCTTGGTTGAATGCTCGTTTAGCCCCAAAAGGCAGAGACAGCTCCACTATCAGCCATCACCTCTTTGTTATGATTTCAAGTGAGCTGTGTAATTAGCAATTACAATCTCTTGCTGCAGGGAAGTGCAAAAGGAGTTGTTTCTGCTTTAAGCGTTTCATAAGTCAATCCAGCTGTTTAGTTTTCCAGGATCCTGGTGACTGGGGTACGTTATAACTGCGTGATTTGCTTTAGGTTCTTCAGTGGGCAAGAGGCCACGTAAAATATGGAGTTCTTCATATCCACGGCTTATACACAGATCCCTGTGGAATGGTGCTCGATCCCTCAGGATATAAGGATGTTACTCAAGATCCTGAAGTCATGGTTTGTGTGATCTTTAAATTTTTTACCGTGTTTTGCCAAACTGTTTTAATGTGATCACTGCAGACATGTTACCCAAGACTGGGGCTGTGTGGCGTCATATAAATGAAATACTTGGGGCCCAGAGAAATGATTGAGAATTATTCAGAAAGGCAGCTGTGTTGCCAGGGCAGTGCCCTCATACACTCCTGCTAAATCACAGTCAAACCCCTCAGCTGGATGTCTCAGTTGGAGTTCTTTGTATTTGTCTTAGGAAAGAACAAGAGCCCCAAAATACTGGACATCAGGACAAGGATTCATCACCATATGAATGCTTGGATTCATGATTTAGGGGCTGTGCTGTTACCAGCTCTGAATCCTGACTGTCTGTTACCAGCTCTGGACTGAATGTTGTATCTTAGCTGGTTTAAGAACTCAAACATTTGGTCAAGAATATTAATTCTCCTTATTTACAGACTGACCTAACAGGAGCCCAGTATTCCGTCATCACAATTCTTTCCATTTAAATTCGCTTGCTGGCAACACTTACATGTCTGTTTAAACTTCATAGAATGGCTTGGGTTGGAAGGGACCTTAGAGGTCACCTAGTTCCAACCCCCATGTATTTGTGTAACTTTGGGTTTTTTTCTTTTCTATTTTTGTAGAAACAATAGTTACAAAATGTCGGTTTGGCCTGGTCCTAAAACATTTGCTTCTTTCAGCTCCCTAGTAAAGGTTCTGCTCTGCTGCTCCTTTTCAGCCTGGCTTATTTTAGACATCCTGACCTTGGCTTTGCCTGCTGAAGTAAATGTGGCTTTCATTTGTTTCTGCCCCTCACAGGAAGTTCTTCAGAACTTGTACCGAACCAAGTCCTTCCTGTTTTTGGGCTGTGGGGAGACTCTGCGTGACCAGATATTCCAAGCCCTTTTTCTTTACACAGTGAAGAACAAAGTGGATTTAGAACATTACATGTTGGTGCTTAAAGAAAACGAAGACCACTTTTTTAAGCTCCAGGCAGACATGCTGCTGCATGGGATAAAGGTGGTGTCCTATGGGGACTGCTTCCAGCAATTCCCAGAGTACGTCCAGGATCTCACTGCTCAGATCTGCAAGCAGAGGAGTCCAGGTAAGGAAAATCTAGGGAATGTGGCCTCCTCACCAGCACAGGCTGGATTGAGCAGGTGCCCAGCAGTGCCCTGTGTGAGCCCTGCACGAGGTGCTGACCTCGTGTGCAGCTCCTTGGCTCCTGAGGGACGTGCAGGGTTGGAACACGGGGCCAAACTGTGACCAGATCTCTTTTTGGGAATCTGTGGATTTTGGAGGCCTGTGGATTCTTCCAACTCTAATCTTGAATTCTGAATTTGCCTTTTTGTTATCATTTGGTAAAGATGTTCACTTTGCATAATTCTTCAGCGTGAATTATTCCAGCCTATTGAGTGTTATATTATCTGAGATGTGACATGTCAGGAGAAGAGACTGAAGGAACTGAAGGAATTACCTGGTGGGATAAGCTGGTTGAGCCACAGTATCTGGTCAAGCACAGAATGGGAAATTAAATCAGTGCATCCAATAAATATTTGGCTTATCACAGTCAGGGCTAATGGGGAGAAACAACAGCTCTATCAGAGGAAAAAGATTCCTTTCATGTTTTCCAAACCAGGACAGGTCTGCTATGGTTTCTCCAGAGACCCGAGGAAAATAAGTAAATGACCTTGGGAAGAATTAGTATTTGACAGCTCTTTTATTTATCAACTCAGTGAAACTGTTTTGTCAAAAGTTACTCCAAGTGGTGCATAGCAGGAACCTTCCCCTTGCACCCCTCAAAGAAAACTGCAGGTGCCTGCCCAAAGTATATGCTGCTTTTTGTGACCTGATGAATATTCCAGTTAGACTGCATTATGTTTTTCTTTCCATGAAGGCTAGAAAAAAATATTTAGCACAGCAAAGAGGTTTCAGGAAGTTTATCTGCAGTGTGAACAACTAAAAGTAAGTTGGTGTGCAGTTCCAGACTGAACTCAGGCTGCTGGTTTGGTTTTGATGTACTGGTGTTGATGGATGTACTTTCCATAGTCTGAGCAGCACCTAGAGCCTTTTCAGTATGGAGAATCCAATTTATTGCAGAGCAGCCCTTGATATTAAAACAGGGAGGGAGACAGGTTTGCTTAAGCTCTAAATGGAACCAACTGAATATCAGACTATAATGCTACCCTTTTCCTTGGGAATTCCTGATTGGCATCAGACATGTGAGAAGAGGGACCTTACTCTGACTTGAAAGCCTTGTGATCTCACTTACAAGGTCCCTCCCAACCCAAACCATTTGGGGATTCTAAACACAACCTTGCTGTTTTGGGCTGGTGCCTGAGTTAAAAAAGCTTTCTGGATGGTAACCTGTGCTGCTGCTCTCTCACTTCTCTAGATGCTGACCGGGTGGACAGCACAACACTGCTGGGTAAGTAACCTTTTTAATTGTCACAGGAAGTTCCATAATCCTACCAAAGAGAGAAAAATACATCTCTGGTTTCCAAAGTAACTGCATGATTACTGTGCACTGCTCTACTTTACCTCCCAAGGTCTGCTGCATGCTCTCTTCCCCCCCCCCCCGATTTGCTTTCTGCTTATCAGCAGGTAACTGCTGGGCTTCAGCTGTCAATCAAATGATAAATGATAGAAAGGAAAAGCTCCAGGAAATGTATATAAAAAGCTATTAATGCTGACTAGAGTACTCTAAGGTAATACTAATATCCATGAGGTTTTGACTTACTTAGATTTCCAAGCTCCAAAGCCTTCCTTAAGGAGGTCTGGAAGAGTGAATCCCAAGCATATTGTACTGAAGGCGAAGTTTCAGCTAAGCTGTTCAGGTGGCTTTGTGATACTTCACTGAATAAGCTGAGCAATAATACATTGCAGTTTATGGTGTAAAATAGCAAAACTTCCCTTTGAAAGAACACAGAGAGATTCCATTCCTGAGAGCTCTGTGCTGCTGCAGGGACATCAGAAGTGTATGAAAGTAGTACTTCATTACTGTGCAATCACAGAGCACACAAGGTCCCAGACACTTGTGGGCAGGTGTAAAGTCAGAGATTAGGTTTGTAATTCCAACTGGATTTTAGGCTTACCGGTCTTTCAAGTGACTTAATGAATCCCATTTTCAATAAAGTTAAATTAGGCACCAGTAAAGAAGAAACCAGAAACTTGAGCACAATTTATTCCATTTCCTCTTAACATAAAGCTCCTTATAGGTAATTTTATCTCCTGTTCACTTGTAATTTGGAATACAGACCAAGTAAAACAGACTTTCAGCAGGGTTAGTGTTACATATAACTCAGAATCCATAAACAAGAACCTCAGGGGACCAGGACTGTGTTTATCTTTGTATCTGGTGCTTGTAATAAAAATGACACCAAGCACATGTATGTAGCAACAATTTAGGTTTTTTATCTTCTCCCTCCCCAGGAACTTCATGTGTGGACTGTGCTAAAAGGAAGTTGGGAGAAAGTGGCACTGACTCCCCGAAGAGGATCAAGCAGTCAGATACACCCACTAGTGAATGAAAACACCCCAAACACCCACAGCCCACCCTAAAAGCTTTTTAACAGCAGGTGTTCTACATCTGCTGCATGGAAAGTTTTGAGCTGGTAGTTCCATGGTTTTAAGTGGAATAAAACTGTACATATTTAGCCTTTCCTTTCTAAAGCTGTAAATGTGTGATGCATGTGAAGCTGGAGCCACCAGAGTCACTGCCTGGCACTGCCAGGCTGTACCTGCAGGGTCAGACACAAGCAGGTGCAACTTCTCCCAAGCCCTTTGGACCAGACTCTGCCCAGGTGAAGCCACAACTTTGTAATGTGTCAGAGATACCTTTTGGCACAGCAGCCTTTGAAACCAAGGGGTTTCAGTTCCTTTCCCATCAGCTGACGGGGTGGGCTGCTGGAGGCTGGGCTCCAGGGATCTGTCAGCACAAGGCTGCTTCCAGGCTCCAGATCCATAAACCCTGGGGGAACAGAAAGTGGTGTTCCACAGTTATGGAACCCACAGCACAGTGACCCCCTGCTTTTCACTTTCAGCAGGAGATTTGTTTTCCTGAGTCTGGTGAGGCAGGAGGGCTGTACCAGTGCTGTATTCACAGGGACAGCCCTGAGGGCCACAGGGCTCCCTGACCTCTCTGCTCTGGGTTTCTGTGGACATGTTTTAAATGTTACACCCCAGACTGTGCTGCCCCTTGCCTTGGACAGCAGGTGACAGAGTCCTGCTGCACTGGAATGAAGCCCAGTCAGGATCCAGGACTGGATCTGCAGACAATTCCTGGTGTGTACCTTTGCCTTGGGATGAACTCTAAGGGTGAAGGTGGGGCACTGCAGCACCTCTTTGTCTCAGGGACTGGTACTTCTTCCCCACAGACAGAATTATTACTTGAGTGGCTTGGAAAAGCTGATCCCACAGAGGGTTATGTTCAAGGCTGTTTGCAATTCCATTGCCCAGGGCTCTTTTTCTACTTCATTCATAACCTTTTTTTTTAAAATAGGAGTAAGATACTGAAAACTAACCTGTTGACCATTTATTACCCTGTTTTGCTCAAGCTGTGTAATGAATTTTGAAGGACATCTCTGAAGGTGACAGATACTCTTTCAATAAAATATTTAAAGTAAACTGTTCCTGTGTAGCAGCTGTCCCCGTTCTTCAGGCTGTTCCTTTCTTCACTGCATTCTTCTCAACCCCCTGTTCCCAGCAAACGGTTAAACCCCCCCAAACAAACCAGGACCTGTGCAATAGCAGCACCCAGACTGCTGTTGGTCAGACACCTCTGAACACCACTGAGGCTGCTCCTTCATCCACCCCTCACACTGCCAAAGGTCTCTGCACATCTGTCACTGGATTCTCAATGACGGCACAGACGTAAATTCAGGACTCAATTTATTAACAAAGCGTGGCAGTAACACAAGTGTTTGACACATCTGCCTGCAGGAGCAGTGGACACATGGATGTGGTTGGATGTTCCTGTGTGCCCAGCAGGAAGCACAAGCCCAGGGCTCCCAGCACACAACAAGGCAGGTGTGTGTAGGCAGTCTGGGGGACAAAAGGAACCTGCTCTGTGAACATGAGATACAAGTATTATGAACAACCATAAACCATGGGAACCTTCTTAGCACACACAGAGGGGGAACACAGGCCAAATGAAGTGACTCCATCTCTCTCAAACAGTGTTCTGTACCCCAGCTTCATTAACTTTGCTGCTTAGATGAAGCACAGCCAGCAAAATAAACTTGGCTGTACTGAGACAGCTGCATAATAACCAACCAATATACTTCCTTCTAATGCTGCTGCCTCTATAGCATCTGACTCATATTTTTGACTTCTGTGAGGTAAAACATCTCAGAGGTGAAATGTTTCCAGGTTACACCACAGCTCTAGAGATAGAGGATGAGCTTGTGTAAACTTAACTAACATTTGCATAAAGTTGCAGTGGAACACTGAAGTCTTTCTGGGTGTCACAGAAAGATAGCAGGCACATTCCAGTATTTTATTGTTTTAAACCAAGGAAATGATCCTATCTGGAGGCCAACAGATGCAGCTGCAACATAAACGGTCCTGGCTCGGGTAGGGAGCACCTGAGCACCACACTGGTGCTACAGCTGCACACAGGACTTGCCCTAAGAAAGGCAAGAGGCTTATTCTGTGGGATGATGTGCTTATGAACTTGCACTCTTCGTTTTTACAGCCCAAACACCCCAAAACACGGGGAGAGAACTCTATGTACCAGTGTGCACAACATCAGTAACAACCTTGGGCGCTCTCACCCCTTAACCAAACTGCGTGAAGGAGTAACAGCTCCTTCCATTACTGCTTTCCAAAACTGCTTCACTTGGAAAGTGAACATTCCCCTATCAACCTCTAACAGCCACGTTCCAACTCACGTTTGTAAGAGTCAGCTGTGAACACAGTTCCTGCTGCTGTCCCCTGGTTCTGTCCACGTGCTACCCCAAGACAGAGCTGAGTCTGGGCCTCTCTGCTCTGTCCTGCTCTTCCCGCTCCGGGAACTCGGTGAGATCCAGGGTCAGCACTTTGCTGAACATGATGTCATCATGCTGGGAAGGGGGAGATCACACCATGGAACATGTTTCTCTTACTTGAAAAAAGCATTTCCTAACTGTGAGAGACAACATGGAGCCTGAGCTCCCACAGGATGTTCCCTGGAGCCTGTCGCTGCACAGCAGGGCACACCCAGCCACCAAACACTGCAGGTGTCAACCAGCACTTCCACCCCATCCCACGAGCATCACTTAACAAGACCCGGTCCTAATGGATTGTTACCTCTGGACACACTCCAATCAAGGCGTCTGCCTTGCAGAAGAACTCCTCCTTCAGGGAAATAACTATCATTTGGAACTGCTCATGGGCCTGTTCTCTGATGAAACTCGAGACCTTTGGAAAGAAAGCAAATATGTCATCAGTTAGTTCTGGCAGCCTGAAACCATGCTGTGATCAGGGAATGGTGAGGAGAGAACTGAACTGTGAGAGCTGCAGAATTCCATCATGAAATAAGCTGGGTAAAATTAGAAATAAACCACTCTTAAGTCAGATACTTGCCATGGTCTCAAGACAATCCCTCAGATCTGCTGCTTTTTGAAAACACGTAACAAAATCATTCACTCCAATGAATAAAGTTATAGAAAGAGGCCTGTGCCAACGAAAACCAGTTTTACCGAATATAACTACAAAGGAAAGTGGAAATTCCTGAATACATTAAAAAAAAAAAAAAAAAAAGCTGTGTAAAGTTTGTTACTGGCTATAGAATAAGATCTGAAATATCTATTTGTTCACTGCAGACAGCAGTATGTTTCCCAATGATAATGCAAAATAAAGGTACAAACTAAGTTATGAACTGGTGACTGAGTAAGGCAGTGTCCCTCAATATAAATTAAATGCTGCCTAAAGGAAAACCATTTTTGATGAGCCCTCTGCCTGCACAGTTCTATCTACTTGGCATGGAAATAGTTTTTTAATGGAAGAACTGCCTTTAATAAGTTAGAGAATTCACATTCATTTCACAATATAGTTCCACTTATTGCAGATCTGCTTTAATAAACCCTCAAACTGAAAGAATAGAAAGAAATGGACTTCAGTTACACAGCACAGCTCACAACCTTCACCCTCCTCACCTCTCACATTCACAGCTTGGGCACTGATCAAACATGCTTAGATTGAGGAATTTAAACCTCTCCCGTGTCTGGTATCCCACACAACCCTTCAGCCCTAAACCCAATCTAATTTAAACCAAGCTCAGTCAGGGCAGTCAATCTCTGCATCCCAACACCCTGCAGTCCAAGTAGCCCCCCTTCTACAAAAGGTGTCAGATACTGCTGATAAAGAATAACTTACTTTATCAATGTTTGTGTTGTCAAGGGCAGCATCTATCTCATCCAAAATAAAGAAAGGTGCTGGCCTAAAGCTGCAGGAGGCAAGACAGTATTTTGCACTTGGATGCCAAAATGTTAACAAACATTCTAATTACTTACTCCGTAATAAAATTCTGATAGTATTTTGCAATATTATATTAATATTTATAATTTTAATGAAATAATTAGATATTATTTAACACGGAATATTAAATAGTACACAATAAACCAGTTATTAAATAGTACACTATTACTATTAAATACACTATACTATACACTATTAAATAGTACACAATAACCCAGTTAACAGTTCATACTTATCAAAATTCTACATTTAATATATAATATTAAAGTCATGGCAAAGAATAAGGTAAAGAATAAGAGCTTTGGTAACACCTGAATACTCCATTAGCAGATTTTTTAACTTGTTTGTAAATGGAGCACTGTCTCTCTTCCTGTCACTTCCTCATGCAGATCCTTGGAGACTCCCACAGTACTTTTTTCCCTTGGACAATCCCAGGGCAGTACTTTTACCTGTGTATGGCAAACACAAGGGCCAGGGCTGCCACGGTTTTTTCCCCTCCTGACAAACTGTCCATCGGCATGAAACGCTTGCCGGGGGCCACACAGTTGAAGCCAATGCCTTCCAGATAGGGCTCCTCGGGATTCTCGAGGCTCAGGAATGCCTGGAAATACACACATGGCATTGTTAACAGGGACATTTATCAAATTATTAAGATGGGGATGTTTTAGGTTGAAATACTGCCTGAGCTAATGCGGCAGTCAGGGAGTTGGCTTCATTTGTAGGGAACCTGTTCATCCCTCCTGAGAGCAGCGTTACCAAATTCCCAGGGAATATGGTTTGGTTAAGAAACGAGGAGGCTCATTAACAAAACCAGTTTGGAAATGGCATCACATATTTGTTATTTGCAAACTTTCAACTACTGAACAAACTCGATTTTTAGTTTGCAGTTTAAGTAACTGCAATTTTTGTTATTAAAATTTTAGACTTAAAAAGGAGCTTTGTTTCTTTAGCTTGGAAGACAATATACTGGCAAAATTAGACTTTTTTTGTGGAAGGTTAGCTTTACAGAGCCCACCTTTGAGCTGGAGAAAGACCGCTTTTATTAAAGTCTTTCTCCATACTTTGTATCCTGGTTCCCAGGGCCGAAAACTGAAAGTATTATTTTAAAGGAATTATCATTTTTCCAAACCACTAAGAGGTACAATGGGTAAGATCTTTGCTACGTGGTTTGTTTTTCCCATTAATAAAAGAAACAATAAGAGAATACAGTCTCT